TATATATATACGTATAAATATAATACGTACAATCATACGTATTGTATTACGTATGAAATATTTTCATATGTATAAATATCTACTACGCAAGTTCTAAAGAAAAATAAACTGAATATACAGTTTTTCTAATTCTTTAATCTTCAGACGTAGTACGTAAAAATCGAGGCTAAAAAAGGCAGATTTCTATTTTCTAAACCCTGAAACGAAGCGTCTGAAAACGCTTCGTTTTTTCGTGAGAAAGGTTCCATTCACATATAGAAAAACGTCTCTTATATTTTTGAGATAACAGACAGAAGAGAAATTTGTCGATTATTTTGAATTTCGTTTTTGTTGAACATTTTAAAAAGTGGCAAAATTTGTACTGTTTTGAAAATATCTCGAAATATACCCGAGCGTGAAGTTGATATTTTTGAATGAATATATATTTCGCGACGCGTCCGGCATCAAACAACTCTTGTGACCGGGTGTCGTTATCCCTAAGCGAGTTCTACTCAGCGTGGGTGTTACCTCCAACGGCGGCAGTTCATCGCCGATCCGTTTTCAGACCTGTCGAGTTGATTACATTTAATTATCATCCGGAGGTTCTCTCTAGGAATGTGATTTTGGGTGAATACAGGCAAGTTCACGACAAAAAAATTAAATAGTGTGAATCCGTGATAAACCATATATTCAATTTAAAATATAAACAAATTTTTGATTTCTATTATATAGAATTACAATGAACACGAACCTTGCATTCATCACAGGCGTTAGATTGGATTACAACTCCCACATTACTGGATATTCAAAAAAATAGTATTCTTTAAGCATTAATTCTGAATTATTTGCCTAGGCAACCAACTGGTGCAAATTTCAATATTTACAGGGTTATTATGTTAGATCTTCGAACTATTCGCGATTAACACTGACTTGCGAATGATACTCAACAATGTCGATATTTCAATTATTCAACACAGTAAGCGTTGAAATAAATCAATATCCCAAGCACATTTAACATACATTTTTCAACTTAACCTCGGTTTCACTTCAAACCATTTAATTATTTGAGTAAATTCGTTCCTTAGTTTTTGGTTCACTTTGGCTATTGGTTAATCAATTATACAATTTAATATTCAATGGCTTCTTACGCACGGGTATCACTCCTCTGCAATGGAAGTGGGGGGAACTCTGCAGATTATGCTAGTGGGGCGTAAATGCCGCAGGACTCCAGCGCTGGCGATCGCTCTTCAGCTCCTGGGCCGTTGCACCACGGGCAGGCGCGCGCAAGCTCGGCGCCGCTGCCACATCGACGCGCTGGCTGTCGGGGCCGCTTCGGGAGCGGGCGCGACCTCGGATTTGGGCCTTCCTCCAGCCCAAAAGCGCTGCATCCACCGATGTGCTCGCCACTTCTCAGCCGCCTACGCTAGTTCCGCGTTTCCTTCGACTCCAATTTCTTTCTCAACAGACGATCGGAATCGGCGTGTTCTTGGGTTTGAGTCGTAGCCGTGGTAGCGTATGCGAGATGCTAATGGTGGGTCGTAATTCAACGAGTTTTTACGTCACGAATTTTGCTTAACATGTCCACCAACGATGACGTTTGCTCTTCTGGATATGGCTCACGTCGCACGTTTTTTCGTCACGTCACCCCCTCGCTCGACAGCCCCGTCCGTACCCGAGTCCAATTCTATTCGTCCGCTAAACAAGCGGCCTTCGCACGCGTTCCCCGTACCTGAAACGAGGGCTTCTTTGCACAACGTCGGAGACCAGGACTCGCACCAGGATGATTTCCTTTGCGAAACGGCGCAATTGCTGAGCAGAGTAGTTCTTTCTTCAACGACGAATGCAACACTTAATCACGCTCGGGATTCACTTCGACTGCTCTCTTTAAGACATTTTAGAAGACTGAGTTTCTCAACGGGAAAAAAATTTTCGCCCGTTGACTCCCTCGCTTTTACCTCAGTAGCCAGTTGCGACTTTCAATTCCTTATTGTGATCTTTCAAAATTTTCGATTTTCCTCTCTCCAGTTGCCCTGGAGAGTCGGGAATTTATTTATTATTCGGTATACAATCGGCTGCGGCTGATTACGCGTATGCAGCGGAACTGCAGAAGTTGCAGAGCTCCGCTCGGCTTTGGTCTTTATAGACTGCGGGACGGGGGCAGAGACGCTAGCTTCTGATTGGTCAAAGAATCGCGGGCTAGCTCCTGGTTGGCTATCGATTGCGCTGTGGTCGGGAGATGTGTGATGGTCAACTCTGTCCTTATATTGTTTGGTCTTCGTGTGGCGGAGAACGGGATTCTAGACGGAATTAATTTTGAGCCCCGTCTTGTATCACGTATTGTAGCTGTCCTATAACCGAATCCCAGGCAGTCTTTACAAGCTTTATTCTTTGAAATACCACATTGTGTTTATAGGATAGAAACTCACTTGACGTTGTTTCTGTAATTCATTTGATCGCACCAGAAATTGGTTGGGAGAAGTAGACAAACTTTAACAAAAACATTTGTATTCAACAAAATTTAGAAATGGCATTCCTAGTGGGGAAATTCAGAAACTAGTGGTGCTACAGAATGGCACACACTTTCCCGTATTAGTTTTCTATTTCCTTCGCTCTCAGCTAGCTATGCGAAATTCCCACATACTCTTGCCAGCTGCCATCAATCGCTGTCCAAAGATTTTGTTTTAATTTTATGATTTCTCGGTTTCCAATTAATAAAAGGGAAATATTATTTTACAAATATTAAAGAGGAGTAAAACTTCGTCCTAAATTGAATTTTCTGAAAAAAAAATTGGAGCAGTTTTTAAAAAAATGGTGCTTAAGCACTACTGTAAATTTGAAATTTGAAGAAGAGAGTTTTTCACAGAGAATTTTTGAGTTTCTGAAACAAATTATTTGAAGTCATATAAAGTACTTTAAAGTCACAAACACAATAGTGTTTAGAAATTGCTAGAAATGGGCATATTAACGGCGTGAGAAATCTTTTAAAAAAAATTATATTTGAGTAATTTTAAAAATCCCAAAATGTACTTTACATATTGAAGAGTGCAATTAGCACTATCCGTTCGAAAAGTTTGAACGAAAAATGTGAAGCTGATTTTGAGAAAATGGAATTTGAACGTTTCTGAAAATTCGGAATTTTGAGCTTGTTTTGAAAAAAACGGTTGAGTTTTCGAGAAACTATATCTGATTTTATTTAAAGCACATGTACTCGTAAATATATTAATGTGAACAAATTGTCGCTAGTACAAATATTAACGACGTAAGAGACAAGTAAAAAAACTACATTTTTGTAATTTTTGAAAAACAAAAGACAGAGCAATATAGCGTTTATGTCGTCTTATAGAGTTCATTTAGAACTATCTCAACCAAAAGGTTAAAGACATAATTTGGAGCCGTTTTTGAGAAAAATATGTGTTATTAACGTAAGTAATTATTTAAAATTGCACATATTGCTCGCAATATTGCGCGAAAACTGCTAAAAGGTTCAAAAATATGTTCATGACATTCACAAAAGAACTCACTATGGAGAAAAAATTGTATTTGAAGAAAAATCTCTTCTATTTTGCAGTTGTAGGAAGTTTGAAACTTCGAAATTTTTGAAAACGTCCGAGGAGTTTTATGTAATGTACCCCCAAATTTTAAAGAACTTGTTTCAAAATCTCAAAGCTTCGACTCGAGCCAGATAGAAGGGGGTTTCTTTGTTTTGGAAAGAATCCTACGTATGGTTTAGACTCTAGTGATGTTAACAGACGGACAGACGGACGGGCAAACAAAAAGGCAGACGATAGTTTTGAAAAAAAAACACTTTTGTGGTATGAGGGGATCTCAAAAGTTGTATTTCCGTTGAAATCTCGAAATCGATTTTCCGCAGCATTACATAACTTTCCCTGTACTACTTACACTGAAGAGCCAAAAACTGGTACACCTTCCTAATATCGTGTAGGGTCCCCGCGAGCACGCAAAAGTGCCGCAACACGACGTGACCTGGACTCGAAATGTCTGAAGTAGTGCTGGAGGTAATTGACACCATGAATCCAGCAGGTCTGTCCATAAATTCGTAATAGTACGAGGGGGTGGAGATCTCTTTTGAACAGCACGTTGCAAGGCATCCAAGATATGATCAATAACGTTCATTACTTGGGATTTTGTTGGCCAGTGGAAGTGTTTAAATTCAGAAGAGTGTTCCTAGAGCAATTCTGAACGTGTGGGCAGTCGAATTGTCCTTCTGGAATTGCCCACGTCCGTCGGGATGCACAATGGACATGAATGGGTGCAAGTGATCAGACAGGATGCTTACGTACGTGTCACCTGTCAGAGTCGCATCTAGAGGTATCAGGGGTCCCCAGTCCAATTGCACCCCCCCCATACCATCGCAGAGCCTCTACCAACTTAATCCCCTGTTGACATGCAGGGCCCATGGATTCGTGAGGTCCAAAAGTCTGTCCGCTCGAAACAATGTGAAGCAAGACCAGACGTGTTCCCAGTCATCAACAGTCCAGTGTGGGTGTTGACGGGCCCAGGCGAGGTGTAAAGCTTTGTGTCGTGCAGTCATTCAGGTGTCACGATTAGGCCTTCGGTACCGAAACCCCATATCGATATGTCTCGTTGAATGGTTCGCACGCTGACACGTGTTGATAGCCCAGCATTGAAATCTGCAGCAATTTCCAGAAGGGTTGCACTTCAGTCACGAGTAATGATTCTCCTCAGTCGTCGCGGGTCCCAATCTTGCACGATCTTTGTGTGGCCGCAGCGATGGCGGAGGTTTGATGTTTTACCGGATTCCAAATATTCACGGTACACTCGTGAAATGGTCGTACGGGAAAATTCAAATTTCATCGCGACCTCGGAGATCCACATCTCACTTGCGCCTACTTTAACACCACGTTCAAACTCACTTAAATCGTGATAACCTTGTAATAGCAGTGACTGTGCCAGAGGCTTGTTGTCTTATATAGCTGTTGCCGACCGGAGCGCCGTTTTCTCATTTGTTTCAGATCTCTTCTATATCAATATGCATGGCTGTACCACTTTTTTGGATCTTGAGTATATAGTACTCCGTATATACGTACGTATACGCGAAAGTAAAACTAATGAAAATATTTCCTGTTTCTTGCCCCAAGCAAAATTGATTATTGGTTAATCAATATTATGGAGAACAGGGTGATAGCAATTGTTGAATATTATAATTTTTTGTATAGAAATGATATAGCCGTTTGTGTTTGCAAACCCTGAAAATGCTAACATTATTTGTGTTAAATACCAGTAATATTTTCATGTTTACATTTTTCAGGTCCCAGTTCGGACGCCAATAATCGTTTACCTACTCCTTGTTGATGTTATCCCAAATTACTCCCATGAATTTACATTTCTAACCAATCATATTTCAATTAAATATCATGTGCTGTTGAATAATATTGCTAAATATATGGTATAGAATTTCACACACACAAATATTTGGAAAAAAATAGATCATTTATTTCTTAAAACCTTTATCCTATGTGCATACGCCATCACTGAAATATACTATCTACATACTTTTGGCCAACCTTACTATAATATCAAAATCTATCTTTCTTGAACATCTTTTTCTCCACGATACAGTCTGTAAATTTAGAACTTGGCTATACTTATCGATAATGCTGTATTTTCGGATTATCGGCACCTCCTAATCTTAATCCTAGGCCTTATTCATCTATTGGCACCCAAACGGTTGAAATTTTACTTTTTATTTTTTTATTTTTTGAAAGTCACTACCAAGCATGATCACTTAAAATATCGGAGTAGTCTGCCATTTCTCATCTATCCAATGGAAATATTTCTAAGATCTATCTCCCGAGACATTCATACAACTCATTCCCTTAGACATTATCAATCCGCCTCATTAAAAATTGGTATCTCCTCCCATGAAGACTCGGCTCCACCTGCTTTAGCCAATAAACAAAACATTTCTATTCTTTTCTGTGGGGTTTCTCTATTGTCGCATTTTCATTCTTCATTCCAATCTTGACGCATGTTGGACATTTAATCACACGGCACCATCATGCTCTTTTGTTGGCAAAAAACTCTAGCGGGTTTTTGTAACAGAACAGGTTGTCTCGTCAAATATGAGAAACCTTTTTTATTACGAAAAAATATTATACAAGTTATACAGGATTTCTTTTATGTAATTTATAGTTAAAATGTGAACTTCAAGTCCCTGTTTTACGTATGTGCGTAGAGTTCAGTGTATTAGTTTGCTTTTGTCCGCCGTTTGGTTTCATTGTATTCATAAGTTGAGCTTTTGATTTTATTATATTGTCTGATATCTAACACGGATGCTGTATTTTTTCACGCTGCAGTGGATATGCCCAGAGTGACCGTTGATGAGGTGAGTGGGCTGAGGATAATTATTGCTGCCGCTTAAAAACACTTGTATAAGTACAAAGAAGAAGGAAATCGATATTCATTGGATGACACTTCAAACAAACATTGGCATAGCTTCATCACCAAAGTTTATTTACCTACGTTTGAATGAATGAACAAACACATTTGGGTTAAGCACGTCAGACGAGTCTTCCCTAAACGCTACACGAAGTATAAATTACTTTTTTGTCATCACAAATTATTCAGTCACCCCCTAATGAGAAACTTAATCTGAGAATTTGGCCAATAGCGCATGTTATCAAGCTGAACCTGTGCATCTAAATGACACCAAACTAGATTTGTATCCCTAATGACAAAGTTCGAAAGTTTCTCCATATTCCAATAATTAACCTCGCGTTCACATAAGTAAACTGTTTATTCAGAATCCAAAAACTAATTGAAATATTCTGTACGTACTATTTTACAATATTTTCTGTATCGAAGTAGTATCTGTAATACTGTTATTGAAGATGTTGAAAACAAGCTATTCAATCTGTTTCATGATCTTCCCTTTCTCAGAAGAGGCGTACCAACAATTGTAATCGCGTACCCAAATTAATTCTCCTTGGCAATTCCCTTATTTTTTGCTCGTGTCACTTTTCAGCTCGCGATTAGCACTCAGTCCTACCATATCAAAATAATCAAAATACGATTCAGTGCTGTTTTTAATAGGCAAATAAAAGTATCCCAAGGAAATATTACTATTGAATGATCCTATGATTTGAATTCAACTTTTCAAAGGCCTAAAAGAAAAATTGACTTACAAAACTTGAGACGCCATGGTCATTAAATCCCATATTCCATTACTATATAACACAACTACTTCGTCTGAATTTCAAGCCACTAAAACACATTCTGCAGGTACTTTAAGTGGCTGCAAGTGAACATATGACACAGGGTATTAGCATGTTAAAGTATTGCGAGATTGCTTCTCTCTTTTGTAAAGCGTGGCGTCGAGCCAAACACGAGATTGCAAGTGGCCGCCCAGGTCAATAGTATGACATCTGGCGAGGATCCGGGACAAGTGACAATAGATGCGAAGGAGGGAACATGTTTCTGCTTCCACCACAGAGCCAGGGGCCACGGAGAGCCTGCGACGCTCTCGAGCGACAACTAGACTGCTGCTAAACTTACAGCCGCTAAAATATGAAAATACTAAATATGTATGAGTCTTTTATTTAATTTACTTCACTTTATTGGAGAAAGTACGAGAGTTTGTCTATGGTAACTTTATTACCTATACACACTTCATTTAAATTCAGTACTTGTTGAAATACAAAAATATCGATTTGAGATTTAACTAATGCACGTGTTTGCCTCTGTGCGTAGTACTAGTAGTACTACGTGTGTAGTGAGCGATGTATTGTAGAGTAGTGTATTTGATAGAACTAGTGCACGATGATTGTTTGGAAGTTTTTAATTAAAATTATTCGCGTCTGATTTTTAATAAGACTCACTTTCTGTTGAATAGTGTTGTGTCTCACAAGGGCTCTGAAGAGAAAAGACTCTTAAAACAGTTTATTCCATGCCTGTCAAAGTCGAGGGCCAGGTTGCGAGCTTCCTGGAGCTGCGACCAGAACAACAGCCGCGAATTTTAAACAAAAGTGTTGTACAAATGTCCGGGCACGTTCGATACATGGCCTAGTCGTTTGGAGACATCTGTTGAGTTATTGCCTCAAAGTGAGAGATTAGAATTCCCATTTCCGGTGTCATATCCAATCCATTTATATTTGAAATTTTGAATTGAACATAAAATTAAAATTTACAATCCAGAGGATTTTGACTTGGCGTTTACTTAAATAGTGCAATAATTACTTTAACAATAGTGATGTTCAGTTTAGGAAAAAAGATTACACAGGTCTACAACCAAAAAATTTATTTGATAATTTTGGCTAAACTTTATGCTTTTTGGTGTGCTGAAAAGGAGAATGAAGACCGTTCTCTATCACGTACAGAGTTTTTTCAAATCCATAAAACATAATTCCTGTTTTGTGGCGTATGCACATATTTACATTTGTAGCCGATAATTTTTTTCTTAAACGATTTTTAACATTCTAAACAATTATTATGTTGTAATAATAGTCTCTCGTAGTAGGTGGGATGTGGAGGGAGTAAAAAAAACATCTATACCACTTACTTTTGTAATTGTGATATTCAAAGTTACAATTCCAAAAATCATAAGTCGATTAACTATCCTAATCCTGAATCTGCTCTTCGTCCGGTACCACACGGTCCTGGATTGCCAGTTCGTCACCCATCTTATGACTTGACAGTACTGAGCGGGAAATAGATAGAGACGCTTGTGTGATGGACAATTTTGAATCAAACAGTGAGTTCGAACCAGACAGTCCAGAGAACGAACCTGAGTTTTTTTCTCAACAGATATTGAATAACTTAGTGAGAGATCTTGGGCTTCTGCCCAGTCAATTGGCTTCCGGCTTAAAACAAAAAAAAATATTACAACCAGACACTTCTTTTCATGGTCTCGACATCGCGAAGCGGTTTTTGTTCCATATTTTTTACAGGATGAAAATTTTGTTTATTGTACAGATATTCCTGGACTGATGGGTCAATTAAGTGTACAATATGACCCGAATCATTGGCGTCTATTCATAGACTCATCGAAACGATGTTAACAAAGGCAGTTTTGTTACACAAAGGCAATACATAGCTTTAGTTCTAGAAGAACAATAAGTACATTTAAAGGAAACATAAAACACTTTCATATTAGTTCTTGAACGAATTCGTTATAATGAGCATAATTGGTTGATTTGTGGACACTTGAAAGTCCTTACCATGCTCTTAAATCAGCAATCAGGGTACACAAAGTCTCCTTATTTTTATGTTTATGGGAGAAGCGTGACAGAATTTTCCACTGAAACAAAAAAAACTGACCATCACGAGAAGCTCTGTTGCCAGGCAAAGAACTGTAATTACGAAAAGTTCGATTCCTTATAACAAAATCGCGCTACCTCCTCCACACGTAAAGATAGGGCCAATAAAGCAATTTGTAAAGTCTCTCAATGAAGAAGGTGAAAGTTTCAAGTACTTATGCTCCAAGTTTCCTGGTTTAAGTGACGCGAAGATAAAAGAAGGAATCATTGTGAGCCCAGACATCCGAAAACTTTTCTCAGATCCACATTTTGCTCAGACCATGGATAAAAAGGAGAGAAAAAGCTGGAATTCTTTTAAAGATGTTGTTGACAAGTTCCTTGGTAACGCAAAGGATCCTAACTACAAATGTATCGTGGAACGCGTGTTGAAGGCTTCTCAAATATTAGGTTGCCACATGAGTTTGAAGATTCACTTCCTACTCTCGCATGGTGACTATTTTCCGGAAAATTTGGTAAACGTCAGTGAAGAAGAAGGGGACAGGTTTCATCAGGACATCAAGGGGAAGGAACATAGGTATCAAGGTAAGTGGAATGTCAACATGATATGCGGACTATTGCTGGATGCTACACCGTAAATCATCTGAAGAGTCATATACCCTGAAGCGCACACGAAGTTTCCAAGAGAAAAGAACACGTTTTCACGAAATAACAAATACCCACATATCTTTACTCCGGCAAGCTTATATCTGTACAGATTAATGTATTTGGTATTGTTAATAACATGTTAATAAATAAAAACTATCAGCCGATTCTGTTTTCTTATGTCGTTATACTAGTGTGTTTCGCGACTGAACTCGAGATTGAAACAAATCTGTACGTGGTTGAGAAAAACTGACCTCACTTTCAGTTTCAGCGCACCACAAACTTAAAGATCAGATGATATTGACAAATCAAATTTCGAAAAGTTTTCTTTTGTAGACCTGTGATGCTACATTTAAGATGTTTTACTACAGGAGAGAAACCACACAGATTTGTGTCATTAATGTACTTCACATTACTGCTATATACATCAAATAATAAAACAAATAAAAAAACATAACACAAATGAAATAAAAAAGGATTTGAAGTTGAAACATACTCCTGCTAAAAATGGTTATGCGAGTTAGAAAATTAAATAATAAAAATAAACATTAAATAAAATAATAATTATAGTAAAATAAATAAATAAATAAATAAATAAATAAATAAATAAATAAATAAATAAATAAATAAATAAATAAAAGTAATATAAAAATGAAAATAATACAACTCTCGGTTGTTTAACAGAAAACATTATTCTGTTCTGGGAAAGCGTCTTTTAATTTTCACTGTGTCTTTTAAGTTTCAACCCTAATTGGTAAAAAGTGACATGAGTCATACTATACACGTATAAACTTCCATGAACATATAGCTAATTTAAAAAAACGACTTGCGTCATATCCAGTGGTCCAGATATTTGACTACACATTTATGACCAGTGCTTTTATAATATTGACAATTTTGTATAAAATGCGACGTGATTTTATACTGTTTGTACTTTATAGCAACATGGTCCCAAGGTATGTCATAACATGTTGTTCTTGTTATGGTTTCAATATCCTCTACTGTTTATATAAGCATACAATTTTGAAGAATATTGAAGACATTTTCCAACAGCAAATAGAACAACCTTAATAACATCTTAAAACCTTACTCGAAATAAAAAAATCTTCTGTATCATTTTTTCATTTAACGTTATTTGAAAATTCGCCCTAAAAGTATTACAAAATAATAGTAACTGAGATACTAATTCAGTGCACAAGACCTTGACGTGTTACCATACAGGAAATACATATGAAAACATTATTTATAAAAAAACTATAAACGATTATAATTGTTTGTCAAATGTTAACTATTATATGTTTTACTCTGATGGAAATTAAAACGTCTAAAATGTTAACTTAAAATCAATGGGACCAAAAATGATCTAGGTAGCATTTCTAAAACAATTTGAGCGAAATATGAGACAAACAAAGTTATTATTTCTGATGATAAAGTTTTCTTTTTTTTTAAATATATTAAAATGAATATCCTGACATATAAATAGCTAGAG